TATGGAATCCCAGACTGGTTTGGGCTGGAAGGGACCTTAAAGCTCCTCTCATTCCAACTCCTTATCCTGAGCAGGGAACCTTCCAGCAGAGCAGCTCTCCCATTGCTGGGAAAAAGAAATGGCAACACCAGGACTCTGATACTTATATTTTACATCTTTTAAATACCCAAAGGATTCTGCTTCTGCAGGTGGGAATCCCTGTGCACTGCAAAGGAATTTTTACTGTGTAAAGTCAATTTTAAGTTTGGAGTTAATAAAAGGGAAAAAAACCACCCAACTGACAAAAATCCCAGGAACAGGCAGCACAGCAAGTCACTTTAGTTTGAGGAGTTAGACCTGTTTTACCAACCATGACATCAATTATGGCTGTCAAGCCTTAAAAAAACCCCAAAATATACGTAGCATTTCAAGGAAGAGTTACCATTCTCCTTCTGTTCTGCAGGAAGCTACAGAAATTATTCTTTTCCCTCTCTCAATTCTGACCTTTTAGATTAAAAAGAAGGTGGCAGAAATGAAACTGAAGTTCAGCCACATGGAAGGCACCAGCAATTGTTCAGATATGGACACTCACTGTGTTTTTGATGCTGCTGTAAAGATCCCCTTCAGGCTGAACCAGAACCAGGCACTGCTGACTTTTGAAGATGAAGAAGGTATGATGCATATTTTAAGTAGAAAATCAGTGTTTCTGATGTATTTCACCTGGCAGTGATGTGGTTTTCATCCAAGGATATTTGGAATGAAAGGGGAGAAGTCCAGTATTAATATTTTACACAATAAGAGCATCTTTTGACAGCACAAAAGTTTTACTATTCTATACCCCTCACAATATATTTATATATATATTATATTATATTATTTATATCTGTTATAATATATTTATTATTTGTATGATTTCTTGTTCATTGTTATTATAATTATTATAATAATCATATATTATGGTTAATATAATTATAATTAATTATAATTAATATTATATATAATATAATTAATTATAATTAATACATTATAATATTTTGCCTATTTGGGAGACTTTATGGAAATACACCTGCCTGAAGACATGGATAGTGGGATCTGGTTGCCTAATTGTTATTTATTTCTTCTTTATTGATGCAAAAGGACATTTTGCTTGAGAGACTGGGGAATAGTTTTGGTTTTATGATGATGAAACAGGGCTTTTCATATCTGATTTTCCTCAGTTGCCCAGAGACTGATAAAAAAGGGGAGGCACACTGTGAACCTGGACAACAACAAAGCAGATGTGAGAGTGATGCCTGTTCCACTTGACATGGGAGTCAAATTTGAGGTAAACAAGTGAAATATGAAGCTAGAAAAATAGGAGTTCTTCAAAACCTTTAGGTTTGCTTTTTCTTCAGCGTTTTCAGTCACAAAGTGCACCGAAAATTTATATTTTTAGCTCCACGTCACTATTTCTGGAAGGAAGATCAACGTTTCAAACATACCTGAGCTGCCCATTCCTGAAGATTGGATGAGAGACAAATTAGAGCTGAATTTCTACAAAACTCAACAGGGAGGAGGAGGAGAAATAGAAAATGTGACCTATGACAATGAGTCTAGAAGAGCTGTGATTACATTCCTCACACCTGGAGGTAGAGTATGGAATACTTTGTTACCCCTATTTAGGCCAAATTGTCCATTCTGGGTGACTTTCTATGTTAATGTAGCAAATTCTTCCCAGAGGGAGTTAAGTAGACCCCTCAAAGATGTGGCTTCACCCACACATCTGTAAATAAAGCAGATCAAACATAACCTGATGACACTTTATGAGCTTTATTTCTTTCATAACTTTGTCAAAACCCTGGTTTTTATTTTGCACCGCCAGACACTCGGATTGCAAAAAGAAAATGAGGAGAATGTGTTTGATTTTGGCTCTTGTTTCACAACAGAGAAGTTAGACAGGCATTCCCATTGCCCAATTCTGTGAAGATCAGTGGAGCCACATCCACTCAGAGCAGCTGCTTTAGATTTATTTCAGAAGCTTTTGTGGGTATTTCATGATTTTGGTTTGGTTTTGTTTTTTTGGGAAGTGCCCAATAAACTTTTTGCACAATGCACATGGAGAACCTACAAGTGTGAGCTGGACTTGATGATCCTGATGTGTCCCTTCCAACTCAGCACATTCCATGATTTTATGATGTATTAGTTTCTACATCCATATAATAAAGATGAGTCTGTTCTTTGAGGTGCTTATAAAACACAGTTTAAATTGCATTACTCTTACCCTTCTTTTTCTCATTCTCCATTTCAGCCAGCAACAGCTTTGGTGGATGTCCTAAATACCCTTTCTTTGCAAATGGAAGGTGCTACACACTTTTTGTTTCCTCACATGCCGACCTACACTTGAAAAACTGTCAGGTAAAATAATCTAGTCCAGGCAAACAGAACAGACAGGTGGGAAATAGGAGCTGTGGGCAGAATCTTCAGTCCTGAGCCCTGCAGGGGCTTTTGTGTCATGGCCTTTGTGCAACTTAATAGCAAGTGTGAGTCTGCAACAGGCCCATAATCTCATGTTTTGCAGTGGGAAAGCTGTAATTTATTTGTAAAGGGTGTGCATGTCTTGCCTTGATTAAATTGTATCAGAACTCACCATAATGCCTGTGCTGGGTGGCAGGAAGGTGTTTGGGAAGGAGGTTAATCATGGACACAGTGTTTTCCAAGCCTCAAAGCCCTGTCACACTGCTCCCTAAGGAGAGTCTCAGGAGAGAAACATTTGCTCCTTCATTTATTTCATTCACTCTTTCAGCCCAAACACTGACTCCTCTCCCTGTAGCACAGAGCTTATCATCACATTCCCATAGAATGCTCGTCCTATTCTCACTGAAATTGCCTCTTGCTTTATGAACAGATGGTAATCCAGTCAGTATTGTGTATGTAATTGTGGAGATAATCAGCCCTTTGTAATTAAAGCATGGGCTGGAGTGTGTGTGTGCAGGAGACACAGCAGCTCTGCAGGTGTGGAGCATGTCCTGGCAGGGCTTTTTATGGAGTGATGCTCTGGAGTCATCAGAGATCCCCAAATCCAGTGTGTGGGTGTGCTAAGGAGGGTAGGACACGCCAGTTAAGGAGTCAGGATTCACTGAACTCAGTAGAATCCTGGAATATCCTGAGTGGGGAAAGACCCACAAGGCTCATCAGTCCCACTCCTGCCCTGCACAGACACCCCAACAATCCCACCCTGTCCCTGAGAGCTCCAAACAGGGAAAAGTCTCCTCCAGGATGAGCCAACCAAGTGCCCTCAGCCACTCCTCATATGGCCCCTCCAGACCCTTCAGAGCAGTGTATGATGGAGTTCAGAATTCCTGCTATTTCCAGGAATATACCCCACTATCCAAAATCTTGACCTAACCAAAGATCCCAGCCATGCCTGCTCAGGGAATTGAATTCCCACACCTGCCAGTCCCTGCTGTGTGATCCCAGCATGTTTTCCTTTCCTCCACAGCCATACTGTGGGGTTTCCAAGAAGACCATTCTGCTGAAAGGAATCCAAGAGGTGGAAGAGGATGAGGAAAGTGTCCAGGACATGATTGAAATCCACTTCCAAAAGCCGAGTAACGGCGGTGGGGAAATAGAGAACATCAAATATGTCTCCAAGGGAGCAGCATATGTTTGCTTTGAGGAGGATACTGGGAATGCCATCTAGGAACTCAGCGGGAACTCCTCAAATTCCGAGTTTTTGCTGCATCAGAGGCGTGGGAACTGTGCTTTTATGTTTGAAATTTATCCTTGGAAAAGAGGAATTGCTGCCTTTCTGATTCGTGCAATGGCACAGGCTCTGCATGGAAATGCAGCAAAACTCACTGCTTGGGCTTCCAGATGAAAGACAGAGAGAAAGCCTTTATCACACTTGAAACACCATCTAAGATTTAATGCAAATTTGCAAATTTTGTATCTTGTAAATTTTATATAGTTCCCATACTCCAAAGTGGGATGAATATATTATTTCTTAGATTTTGGATCCAAAAGCCCTGTGTAATCCCAATCCAAAGCCTGGAACAGACCTGCTTTGTTGAAGTGCCAGATCTTCAGAAGGTGGCTCTGACACAACTCCAGTCCTGCTGAGGGCCACCAGAACTCAAATACCTGAAAGAAATCCTATAATTTCATCAAATCCAATTTATCCAATTAGTAATGGGATTAAAATAGAAAAAAAAGGGAGAGGGGCAGTGCAGAAACATCAGTTCCACTCAAGGAATTGCACTTTAAAAGGAATGCCCTGGCAGGAATGCTGCCTTCAGCTGCTGAGCTTCTACTAATTCAGAGCCTGCTTTATTGTTTGTGTTAAATATTTCTTTCTACAATTAAATTTTTCCTCATTTTTGTCCATGTTTTTTCCTCACTTCAAACTATTTCAGCCCAGGATTGAGCTGATGCTTTGTCTAAACCAGACTGGTTTTGTAACAAAGCTGGGGAAACAGCCTGAGGGATCTGGTGACTCCCAGGCTCTGGGAGGGTGTGGAGAGAGGGAACAGGGAAATGCAGAGTCAGAGGAGGATTTGTTTTCCGGGGAAAAACGCTTTTCCTTTTCTGCTGTCATCCTTGGAAAAATCAATCCTCCTCTCACTTTGCATTTCCTTATCTTTTGCTGAAATGCTTTGGCCACAACGACCTTAATTTCAAAGTAACTTGGGTCTGACATTGAAAATAACTTATTTTCAGGGTATTTGACGTGTTGGTGCAGGAAATGGACAATGCACCGAGCTCTCAAAAAATACCTCAGGATTATTATTCTAGAGAAATTTAGCTGGCAAGAGACTGAGTTGAATAAGGGAAACTAAAAGCCTGCAAGCAGCAGTTTATTTTGAATTTACTGTTGAGTGAGATACATGTGACTGTAGCACCTCTTGCTGTTTAGTGCATGCAAAGGCACGGATTGATTACCTGACCATTGAGAAGTAATAATAAGAATAATTAAAAAGAAGAGTAGTTCTGAAGTATTTATGGAGAATATGTACTTCTGCACACTTTAAAAACCTGGTAAAATCAGACACCCTGAAAAGAAAGGGGGAAAAACCTGAAGAAGGCAAAAAATGTCATGAATTTTAACTGTGCCTCATTGTTAAATACTGAGGACTAAATCCTTAAAAAAGGAGAAACTGTAAAATTCTCATAAGGTGTCCCAGTGTGCAGAGTAGTGAGAAGCTGCAGGTTTGAAGTACCTAAAATCAAGATTATATTTTAAGTAACACTTTAAGAGTGTAAATGTCTTGCTGCTGAATTCTCTCTGATGAATTATGGTCTATGATGATGATTACACAGTTAAAGTTTAAAGCAGTGGTGCCACACAAAGGCTGGAGGCTGCTTTTAATGGTGAAAAATAAGAATAAAGTGTCGGTGACATGCTTGCCTTGAAATATGTGTGCTTTGACATATGTCTGGCTGTGCCATGTGTGTGCTGTGCCATGCACGTGTGTGTGCTGCCATGTGTGTGCCGTGCCATGTGTGTGCCGTGCCATGTGTGTGCTGTGCCATGTGTGTGCTGTGCCATATGTGTACTTTGAAATATGTGTGCTTTGCCATGCGTGTGCTGTCACACGTGTGCTTTGCCATGTGTGTTTTGCCATGTGTGTGCCTTGCTGCGTGTGTGCTTTTCCATGTGTACCTTGCCATGTGGTGTGCTGTGCCATCTGTGTGCCGTGCCATGTGTGTGCTGCCATGCGTGTGCTTCACATGTGCCTCACCACGTGTGTGCCGTGCCATGTGTGTGCTGCCATGTGTGTGTGCTTTGCATGTGCCCCACCACGTGTGTGCCATGCCATGCGTGTGCTTCACATCTGCCCACCATGTGTGTGCCGTGCCATGCGTGTGCTTTGCATGTGCCTCACCACGTGTGTGCCATGCCATGTGTGTGCTGCCATGTGTGTGCTTCACATGTGCCTCACCACGTGTGTGCCATGCCATGTGTGTGCTGCCATGCGTGTGCTTTGCATGTGCCTCACCACGTGTGTGCCGTGCCATGTGTGTGCTGCCATGCGTGTGCTTCGCATGTGCCCACCACATATGTGCCGTGCCATGCGTGTGCGTGTGCCTTCAAATACGTGTGCTTTGACATACGTCTGGCTGTGCCACGCGCGTGCTTTGCCGTGTGTAGTTTGCCACGTGTAATTTGCCATGTGTGTGCCTCACCACGTGTGTGCTGTACCATGTGTGTGCTGTGCCATGTGTAGTTTGCCATGTGTGTGCTTTGCCACGTGTGTAGTTTGCCATGTGTAGTTTGCCATGTGTAGTTTGCCATGTGTGTGTCTCACCACGTGTGTGCTGTGCCATGTCTGTGCTTTGCCGTGCATGTCCCTCCCCGTGTCCATGTCCCTCTCCACGCGTGTCCCTGCCCGGTCCCGTGCCCTGGCCGCCCGGGCCGCTCCCTGTTGCCGGGGATTCCCGCCGGGAGCCGCGGAACTCGGCGCGTTGTTTCTCCGCAGGGCGGGCGGTGGATCCCCCCCTGCTCCTCCTCCTTCCCC